GTAACGTTTTGACCCAGCAATTCAGCTACTAGAAATGTATCCTAGATGTGGATTCACACACATGTACAAATGTGTGCACCACACAACCTGACCAACCACACACTGAGGGACAGAAGTTTCCAAACAACAGAATGATGAACAACTGAAAATAAGGGCATTCCTTCTACTTGGTGATAAAAAACAACAAACTACTGATCACACTAATAACATGAATGCATCGCAGAAGAATGTTGAGAGAAATAAGCTGAACAAGAGCCCACACTGTACTGATTCCATTTGTAAGCACAGAAACAGGCAGAAGTCATCGACGGCGACAGAATCGGAACAGAGGTTGCCCCTGTGTGTGTGTAGGGGAGTATTAACTGGGAAGGGGCATGGGGACACCTTGGGTGATGGAAATGTTTTATATATACTTTGATTAAAAAAAACAAAGTTCTCAAAACCGACTGCACATAGATAATTCTTCAAAAGAGCCCAACGCTCAAGGCAAAACAGTCTTTATTAATTAGCAAGACTACTGTTTGACTTAAAGGTGATTTTTAGGAGACTAGTCTACTCAAGGCTCAAGGTTCAAAAGATCACCTTCAGGGCAATGGCCTAGGTGGGTCACCTCAACCTCCATGGACCCCAGAAATGTGGATTCCAGGAGAATTAAAACTGTTTTTTACCCCTAAGCAATGACTCCCCCTCTCCGCCTCCCTCCCACCCCTGCTAACTGCTAATAGACTCTGGTATCTAAAAAAAAGTTGCTGTTGACTTTGACTCATGGCAACTCCATGTGTGTCAGAGTAGAACTGGGCTCCATAGGGTTTTCAATGGTGAATTTTTCAGAAGTAGATTGTCAGGCCTTTCTTCCCAGGTACCTCTGGGTAGATTCCAGCCTCCAACCTTTTAGGTAACAGCCAAGCATGTTAACTGTTTGCACCACCGAGGGACTCCATACCTTGATAAGGACGTGGGTTAGAGGTCTGTGTGCATTTGCCAAAATTCAAGCTGTACACTTAGGATCTGTGCATTTCTTATATCTCAATAAAAAATAAACAGCGAGGCACTCCTATGTAGAACAACCTCTCAAGTGCAAAGCAGTTTCAATAGCTGCTATCAGAGATGCTCACTGTGGAATGACTTTGGAAGAAGACAAGAATTCAGATTGTCAAGAAGCCTGGGAATCTGGACAGGAAACGACTTTTGGCATATTTTTCAGTATATATTCATTATGTACGTTTTAATGAGATTTTAGCTTAAAAAAAAAAAAAAAAAAAAAGCAGAAGGTATATTTAAAAAAAATAAGATCTCTGATGAGGGAACTTAACCAGATTGAGCAGCTGTATTTCCCCCTGTGCGTTTGTTTCCTGTTCAAAAAATAAGCTGAGATCCCTGTTTTAGTCCTTACAGAAGTGATTCACATGTTCAAATGACAGTGTCATAGAAATACAGGAGAAAACACATGTTGATGATCTAGGGATAGGAAACCAAAAACCCAAACCAAACCCACTGCCATTGAGTGGATTCTGACTCATAGCGACCCTATAGGACAGAGTAGAACCGCCCCATACGGTTTCCAAGGTGCAGCTGGTGGATTTGAACTGCTGACCTTTTGGTTAACAGACAAGCTCTTCACCACTGTGCCACCAGGGTTCCAGGGATAGAAAAGGCCTTTCTAAATAGGCTATGAAAAACAGAAAATGAGAAGACAAATACAAATAATTCCAACCAAAAACCAAACTCATTGCTGTCGAGTTGATTCTGACTCATAGCGACCCTACAGGACAGGACAGAACTGGCCCATAGGGTTTCCAAGGCTGTAAATCTTTACGGAAGGGGACTGCTGTGTCTTTCTCCCACAGAGCGGCTGATGAGTTCAAACTGCCGACCTTTTGGTTAGCAGCCCAACGCTTAACCACTGTGCCACCAGGGCTCCTTATAAATAAATCTAATGCCCTAGAAACAGAAAATCTCTGTATGGCAAAGACATGACGAATTGAGATGAAAGAAACACAAGCAAGGGTAAATGTCCCTACTGCCCTACAGCTCTCACAGCAAGTAAAGTCAAGTGGCCCCCACAGAGTAAGAGAACATTCCAGTGTCCACTGGACTCATAGAGAAATAGACTACAAAAAAATGCTAACAAGCCTTTCACCATTCAGTCGACAAGGATTACAGAGAGGCAAAAGCCGGAGTAAGCTAAGGGGAAGTTCCCCTGTTGGTAGGAACAGCATCAAAACCCCTCAGGTGTAGTTCACCCACATGTTCTGAAGAAGTAAAAATATTATTATACAATATTTACACTCAGTGACCCAGAAATCTCTCTCATAGATATCTGCCCTTAAGGGGATGTTGGGAGAGAATGTACAAGGATGTTCAGCGCAGTGCTGCTCACAATAGCAGATGGGGGGAATGTTATTAAGGAACTTGAAACTTTGCAAGAGTTATATTTAGGCCTTTGGTCTTATGACTAAGATGTCTGTGACTCACTGAAGTCAGACAGTTGAAGTGCCTCAGAGAACACTCTGTGAAATCACATGTAGAGATGCTACTCAACATCCTATCAGTGGGCTTCTGCTTTGCTGGCGTTTTACAGCGAGTCTTTTCCCAACGACAAAGCTAAGAAAAGGCTCATTAGTCTTGGAACTCAGTAGGATTGGGTTTCACCTAAAAGCCGCAGAAAGCCAACTAATGAGTCTTAAGCAAATAAGGGGTTTCCGTCTGGAGGTGGGCAGGCCAGGGTCTGGAGGGCAGCTTGATGGTGACTCCTTTTTTCTTTCAGCTTCCATCATCCACTGCAGGGGCTTCTGTCCTCCATCCTCATGGTCACAAGATGGCTGCTGCACCACCAGGCACCATGGCCCATTCCACACCAAAGAAGGTCCACAAGGCCACAGGAAAGGCCAGCCCGGACTGTTCCTTTAAAAGGCTTTCCTGGAAACCACACTAGCGAGTTCTACTTGCATCTCATTGGCCAGAACTGAGTCACACAAGTTACCCCGACCCCTACCCCCAAACGCATGTCACAGACAGAGTGATCTACTTCAGAGACGCCTCCGCGGGATCACCTAGCACTGTGGAGCCCTTTCCTCTCCAGCCTCAGCGGAGGCAGCCAGAAGCCCCTCGCTGGCTAAATCACGAGTCACCACCCAGGGTGGTTTATAGGAGAGATTTATTTGAAGAAATATTACAACATATAAAAACTACATAAAGTCTTAATTCCCACTCATACAGTGGTAGATTTGATATAATGCGTAATAAAAAACCTTTAAAATCCAGAATGCACAAAGTACTGCACAGTTTGATCACTACGTAGTTACTGAGAAGCGAACCTCACAGGACAGCTCCATGTCAGCCAAGGCCACAAACACCGTGTACGACACATTTGAACCAACAGATTTCGACATATTAAAAATACAACATCAGTGCATGTTGGGGATTCCTGGTGCCGGAAACGAGGGTGACGGAGGGCAACACTAGTCCTTAGTAGCCTTCTCCTCCTTTATTTTAGCTGAAGGGAAATGAAAGGAAGAGTCACTCCCGGGAAGATACAGGGCGTTACACTCGGCAATAGGCAAGCGTAGCAAATGCATTAAATAAGAAATATGTTAACACCCAGGAACCGGTGTTAATGGTTGACCTCTAAGAACCTGCAGCAGTTCTAAATGAACACTCAGGGAGGTTGCGCACACCTCAAAGTTGCTCCCTAGAGACAGTGTTGACATGTCGTGGGGTTGTTAACTATTGTCATAAAACAGTATGTGTACTGTTTAATGAAAAACTATTTGTTCTGTAAACCTTCATCTAAAGTACAATTTAAAAAAAGGTAAAATTATTTTTATTATAAAACTAATTCATGCTCACTGTAAAAAAATTGGAAAAAACTGTATACAGAATAAAATTAAAATTACTACCCAGACCTAAAAGGAGTTGCTGTCTAGAGTAGGTTTCTAGAACTCTTGGTCAGCAGTGAAGCAGGTGCCGCCAGGCCAGATTCACTCAGTAGGAGGGGGAGATGTACCGAAAGCCAGTGGAGCAGCCAGCCCCGACCACACACCTACTGTGTGCCGGGCTCGG